CTGCGCGATCTCCTTGCAGTGATGCGGGTGCGCGAGGCGGAAGTCAGGCGGGGCGCCACCCGGCTCGAGGCGCTCGCACGAAAGGCGAAGCGAGTCGACGGCGAACTGGCCGCCCTGCAGCGACGCCCTGTGGATCGCATGGGGAGCTCACCCCGGAGGCCCTATCAAAGGGAGACCTCTCGTGGCAGCTTAGCAAGTCGCTCCTCCAGCCAAATACCCGCATCCCGCTCCTGTGTCTCCCCACGTCTCTATCAAACGCCTCGGCATGCGGCGACGACGTACCACTACCTCAGCAAGCGGCCCGCGCGTGCCCTGAGCGTCCTCAGCGACGATGACCTGCCTGAAAAAGATCTCAAGGAACATGCGAACGAGCTCATGCAGTGGCGCGAGGAGCGCAGCCAACTCCTGTCGGAGAAGGTACGAATGGTGCAGCAACATAAGGAACTGAACTTCCACCTGCGACGTGGGACACACATAAAGCCCATCTCCGCGGTCACTCCGACCAGTGCGCGCACGCCAATCAAACAATTGGCGCTGAAAAGCTTCTCTGCGGTGGATGCAGACGGCCACAACCTATTAGCCAGGTTGCGGCTGGACGCGAATCGAGTGGGCATCGAGGTCACTAAGTGTCGAGCGGCCCATCAAGAGGCCATCTCTCGTGTGGCACGCACGCGAGAGTCCTTGGAAAGCAATCTAGAAGATTTGAAGATGAAGCGCGATCAATGGCGGATTCGCTTTGAAAGTGTTGCATGTAAAATGGAAGAAACTATAGCCTGCGCAAAGAGCATAAGTGCACAATTGGTTTCCATTAGAAGCAGCGATCAGAAATATAAGGGAATCGTCGCGGATCGGCTGGGTATCAAACGCGAAGACGCGGAAGGTGTCCCCGGCCTGCTGTCACTTAGAAACCGAATCGAGGGTGGTAAGCTGCTCGTTATGCATACAAATAAAGTGGAATCCGTGCTGAATGCAGCATTGGAGCGGCTAAGGGGAATTTACCCGGCACCAATATAGAGCCCCCATGCCTGGCGCGCGCGTCTAGTGAGTGACGTAGGGGATAAGAATGTTTGTGGGTATCAATGTGTGTGAGCACAGAAATTAATGCTATCTTTACCGTTTTTATCTTTACCATGAGGTACAAATTAGGTGGTGGTATTATCCTTACGGTATCAGTGAGATATTGTTGCCTAACTATTGTTACTTTATTGTTTTTGATTCAAAATATATTTAAGCTTTTTCCGCTTTTGATGGTCCTGAGATAATTTTTGACGATAGAAAAATGCATCACTATTCCGATTTAGAACATGATGCGTATTCCCTGTTCACACTACTTTTAGCTTCGATTAATTCCCCATACTCCTCCGTGTTGGTGTCTGCTTTCTGACGGCGCTTTCTCTTTCCAAAATATTACTTCATTTTTTTGCTCTAGATTCCAAACAGGAGAAAAAACTAGTGTTTCCTTACGCTGGGAGTATTTTAAAAGAAAATTCCTTACTAACAGATACTTTAAGATTCATATTTTTGTTTAACGCTTCAACGCGTAATTATTCACCATGGCACCGAAATCCAAGAAAGGACGTGGGAAAACAGTAAAACTAACAGAGTTCAATAAGGCCTACATACCAGAAGATGCCTTGGACTGGGCCGATGATGATTGGATGATCGAAAATCGGGAGGAGGAGATAAGGAATGAGAAAAACGCTATCGGCAAGCGCCACGAATACAGTCGCACTGCAAAGAACACTCTAGGCCAGGAAGAAAGCTTCCGCACAGCGGATATGCTGCAGCCAGGCACAAAGCAGTACGACTCTGAGCTGCGTCCACCGTACGTTGCCCACTTTGGCAACCTGCGCAACGGCACCACCGAGGAGAATTTCCTGGAACTATTCAACAAAGATGTTGTCGTGACGCACCGCCTCATCTCGCAAGATGGTAAGACATTCGCCTTCGTCGAGTTTAGCTCTGAGCAGGCCCTCCGTGTCGCCCTTTCGCTCGACGGCACCGTCCAGCGCGCACGAAGGATGTATGTAGATCTGGCAACTGAAAAGCAGATTGAACGTCTTCTAAACCGAGGCGTTGGTGGCGCTAAGATGGGGCTCTCGCGCGACAATGCGGAACAGGCCGGCGGGTTGGGTGCGATGGAGCTCTCGCGAAACGTCTTCGGCGGGCAGCAGCAGCCGGACTCGCCACTTCCCTTCTCGGACCGTGGTAACTTCGGCTCTCGACAGGACCTAACCATGATGGGTGAATTCTCTCGCGATATGCTGGGCACCGCCCGGCCAGCGTCTCCACTTCAACCTAACTTTGCTTTCTCTGATAGCGCGAACTCACCGGTCGACTTTTCGAATTGGAGAAATGAGGAAACACCGGCACAGCCGGATTTCAGAGGCATGCCAGAGCGCAAGCACAGCACCAACCGGTTTGAGCAATTCCGCAGTGGTAATAACGCACATGCCGACAAGGGTGGAAAGCGAAACATCCCAACCGCATCGATGCCGTCGGGCAATTGGCGCGACGAGCAGCCTATCGAGGTACCGCCAACGCAGGGGGACGGCACCGAGATGACGAAGAGAAGAGAGGATGGCCCTGCAGAAATGAATGGGGGACGCGGCGGTGGCCGCGGGCGCGGGCGCGGACGTGGCGCGGGTCCCGAAAAGACTACCCCCAAAGACCCCTCCTTAGCTGAAAAAGACTGGGCAAGCTTTCGGAAGTAAATCCCGTTTAAAAAGTGTGTGAAACAGAGTAATTACAATGGTGCTGAATACCCTACGCAACGCTTAATTAATAAGCACGTATAGTTAAGAATAATACTTACACATTTTATGTTCTTTTCTATATGTATTGATGTGTATTCGTGCGAGTGAATGAGCAAAAATTGAGTGACTTGCTTCCAAGTTGTGTCGGAACTACGCGTTTGGCTCCGCAAGATAGGTTGTACGTTTTAGGCCTTTCCTGTAAAGGGGGTTTAATTAGGTAAGCTAGCTAGTAAGTTAATAGTAATGCAGAGGTAAGGCTGTGGATAATGCCTACTTTTAATTGACATGTTACGCATCGACGTCAACATCAGCTTTATACTGTGTGGGAAATACGTGCTTTGGCTGACCTAATGTAAGGGTGTAAACTTCATCCCCCTCCCCCTGGGCTTCTCTGTTCTATTTTATCTTTAATTCGAGAATAGTAATCGAGGGCACAACTTCTGCCCTCTTTCACAAACAAACAAAACAAAAAATAGCAAGGGATGAAGTTGGATGAAAGTAACACGAAAGACCTCATTCGACCAGCTATCAAGCAGCATTCTAGTTGTCAAACCGTCAGACAAAAAAAAAAGTGATCGAAATCACACCATTCTTCTCTGGATGCCAAGCTTGAAAGATAAAAATTATATGTCTTATGACTAGTCAATCAACTACCCTACAAAACGTAAATGTCTATTTTCGGACACATAATGACCCAGTCATAACCAGGCTTTTTCATTTGGTGCATGAGGTGTCCCCTTCCCCTGTCATCCTCATCGCCCCAAGAAAGGTTAATTATTAAGAAGTATTTATGGATATGGAAGGGAAAGTAAGATTGACATTGCTTTTTTTCTGCTTACTATAAAATAGATCCCATTTGTCAAATAAAGAGATATAAAGAAAGGTATATATTAAAATAAAAATAGCATTATTACTGAAATATCCTAAATGGGTTTACCAATTACATGCTTATTCTTTTAGTATGCTGACTTGACAATAGCTTTGAGCCTGGCGCCTCTGAATGCGCTCATAATGGCAGGGATCGAGGTGAGAACAATCCAAGTAACCATTCCTCCCACCAACCAGTAAAACGCCGTCAGAGTCGGGTATTCGTCGGACTGGAACGGCACCTTGCAGTTCATGCCGAAAATACCACACACAAGATTCAGGGGAAGGCACGTGGTGGCAATCATAGCAAGAATTCGAAGATTCCAATCCAAGCTCGCTGAGCTCTGCGACATCCGCATCATGACGCCTGTCACAAAGTTCAGGTTGGATTGGTTCAGCAGGTCGCGCGCATCATCGAGGAGGTTGCTCTGCTTCGAAACCTTGGCCAGGGTGTCCTTGCACAGGCCTACGCTGGTCCTGTCCATCTCCAGAAAGTTGTCGCGCGCCATGGGGCTGAGCAGTTCCAACAATACTTTCTCCTTCAGAAAAAGGCGGGTACGGAAGGCGGAGATGCGCTGCCGCAGATTCGCCACACGCCGAAGAAAGTCCGGCTGGTCGCGCGGGCCAGGGGCGATGAGCAGCGACATCTCATCGATGCTGTCCACCTCGTTCAGGAGGGTACCCGGTTTCGTGAGGAGCAGCTCACTGGAGAAGCTTAACAGCGTGGCGAGAGCGGCGCCGGGGTTGAACTTGTCTGACGGGACCCCGGCGTAGCGCCCCTCCAGGTTGTGCACCATCTCAGCAAGCCCGAGGAAAGGGGCGCTGTGGAGGGTTACCAGGAGGCGCTTGGTCGCAAGGAAGACGCACCAGACCATGCCCCCGCTGGCGTCAAGCGTCTCCGCCGTGATGGCGTCCGGCACCGTCCCCCCGAATTCGTCGTAGGCAGGGTAGCCCGTCACCGGCTCGTCGCTGTCGATCTTCGTGTTTTCGTAAACCGAGTTCCCCCGCAAGCAGCTCACGCTGCCGGTGATGTAGTCCGTGGCGATCGGCTGCATCTGCACAATGTCACCCTCCGTGGTGTTCACCACCGCGTTCAGCGCGGTGTGGGTAAGGTTGGTGCCCAAGGACAACTCCTTGAGAAGTCGCCAGTGGGCAGCTTTTTGTTCGCCCTGCACGTCAATCCAAATCGCTTCGCGGGTATCATTGGCGTGCTTTATCAACGCATCCAGCGACGAGAAGTATCGTGAGCCGCTCGCGCTGTTAAAAGTGTAGTATTTGCTGATCATTCCTTTATTCATGAAAGATTCGAACTCGCGAGAGCCTTCGGAGACTTGATGCATCATTGCTTAGGAGGTCGCAGAAAAAAAAAGCGCGCTGTCAATAATGTTGTGTCTTGGAAATTTAATAGATCAACTCAAACGCAACCGAGCAATTATAGAACAACAACAAAAGGGTTCAAAACTTATAATATAGTGTAAAAACTAGTATTCATGAGTCGCTTTAAAAGCTTTTAACTTAGCATCAAATTCGAAAACATAAAAAATTCTACTGAAAGGGAGAAATAATCGTTTGGGTAGAGCAACACAAGGAAACGAAATAAAGCAGCAATACTTTAAATTGGGAAAGAAATGAAATCAAAAGAGTCGAGAGAAATACACGGAAAGTTAATGCGGATCACTCCAAATTTTACTACCGTAACTAAATTAGTTAACCATGCTTTCCTGCCAACAATGATGAACGTGAAGAATGATTGAGGTATAAAAGCATAATGCTTTATTACCTAATATACATCACACAAATGGGAAAATGGCATGGACCAAATCCATTTACGTTTCCACCGCATCATTTATACGCTACGGCATTCTTTCGCTATGCTTGCGCCGGGGCCCCATCTCAATCCAACAGCTCCAGTGCCTCCCTCTGGGTGTCTGTGATGCGTTCCGGCAGACTCACAAGGTATGTCACGTGAAGATCGCCACGTTCCGAAGGGACATGATGTCGTGGCATTCCCTCCCCTTTGATCACCCGCCGTCGCCCATGCTCCACAACGCCCGTCTCCTTCAAGCGAATCTCATGGCCATCCAAATGCTGGAGAATACGCTCGAACCCCAGCAGCGCCTCGCGCAGGCTCAGGGTGAGGTGGGCATGGAGGTCCATCCCGTGGCGCTCGAAGACGTCATGCTCGGCGGTCAGAACGGTCACCACGACGTCCCCAGGAACACGTCCGGGCTGCTGGTCGGCCTCCAGCTCATACGTGAGCTCGTGACCCTCAGGGATCCCCGCCTCGACATCGACAGTGATCGCCACGTCGCTCTCCCCTACACGGAGGCCGCCGCAGACGGCGCACTTCACAGCAATGCGCTTCCCTTCCCCCCCGCACTGCGGGCACGCGTGCGTCACCTGTTGGACAAATCCCGGCGCGAATTGAACCTGGCGAATGACGCTGCCGGAGCCCTGGCAAACGGTGCAGGGAATGATGTCTTCAGGGCTCCGCGCCCCCGTGCCGCGGCATGTCCTGCAGAGCTTCGTCTTCCGGAAAACCACCCGGTGCTCCGCGCCAGTGTACGCGTCGCGAAGCGGTACTAACAGAACTAAGCTCAGGTTTTTCCCACGGTCTGACTCCGTGCGGACGCCAAATAGTTGAAATAAAGGGTGCTGTTCCTGTTGTGGTTGCGGCTGCTCAAGTTTTTTAACACTCTCTATGCCAAGGATGTCGTACACCTTGCGCTTGCGTCGGTCACCAAGGATTTCGTAGGCCCGTTGAATTCGTTGATAAACCTTCCTGTTGGCCTCTCCAGACACGTCCGGGTGGTATGTTTTCGAAAGCTTTCGCCAGGCCGTCTTGATCTCGGACTCCGTCGCCTCGTCGCGCTCCTTCTCTAAGCCTAAAACAGCGTAAAAGTCCTGGTCGTCATGGGAGTCCTCTGCACCCGTCCGCTTGGGCTCACCCAACGCTAGCGAGAAGGGTTCGATCAGAAGAAGCCACAATACGATAATGACGACCAATGTGGTGGTTCTGGTGTACGGATTGCCCATAGATCCCCCTCGCGTGCAGCAGAAGGGGCTCGAGGGCATGGAATCGCTCTTAGGGTGGACTGAACGTGAAATAGGTGTGAATGATGTGACTAAAAAATAACTATAAAGAAACGTTTTCCTTTTTGCTACACCCGGTATTCAGAAGCAAAAAAAGGTGGAATTATACGGCTGGGATCAGCCCCCAAATTGCGAAAAGATACCCAATCGAATGGGGATTCAAAAAAGAGGTAGCAGCCTCCGCGAAGGGTCGCAGGGTGCGTGTTATTTTATGACGTGTTATCCACGTTCATACCACTTTTATCAATTCATTCGTTGATTTCCTAATTAAAATAGACTTGCAACGTTTGGATAAAGACAAACACAAATTCAATAAATTAATAATTATTACCTTAACTAAAAATTTACATGAATTTTCTCGATATTTCCAAGGTCAATTTAGTCTAGCCAACTAATGAAGTTCCCTCTCCTTGCGAAAGTTTCCGCTAGGACTTCTCTTAGAAAAGGGTCATAACCATAGCAATAAATCCAGCATTTACCTGTGAAGCCTAAAATTCCTTGTGTTGTTCGGTCATACGTAATAATAATAATAATATTTAAAAAAAAATGCAAACTCATGCATAGTTTTTGTTAACTTTACCGTAGAAAATATCTAATCCGCAGATGATACCACTCTTGTGCAGCCATCAGCCTATAACATACACACTTGACGCATCAGTTAAGGCTTTAATTCCTCACAATGGGGCCATTCAGGGATATTTTCACTGACTTGACCTGTGTATACTCCTCAAGTGCCTCCGCACCGCCATCACGGCCATACCCACTTTGCTTAAACCCACCAAAGGGCTGAGCCGCATCATAGCTGTTCCACGTATTTACCCACACACTTCCTGCATCGAGGAAAGTGGAGTATCGCAGGGCCGTATCCACGTTTTCGGTGCACAGACCAGCCGCGAGGCCGTAGCTTGAGGCGTTGGCGCGCTGGATGACCTCTTCCATGTCCTTGAACTTCATCACACACGTCACCGGGCCGAAGATCTCCTCCTTACATATCACCATGTCGTCCTTGACATTCGTGAAGATTGTGGGCTTCACGAAGTAGCCCTTGTTGCCGATGCGAGTACCACCCGTCAGCAGCGTCGCGCCCTCTGCCTTGCCCTTCTCAATGTACCCCAGCACACGCTCCAGTTGAGTCTGCGAGATCAGAGGGCCCATCGTGACGTCCGGATCGCTGCCGGGGCCCACACGGCACTGCTCCGCAGCAAGCTTCAGTCGCTTGACAAAGGTGTCGTAGATGCTCTCGTGAACATAGATGCGAGAAGACGCAGTGCAGACCTGTCCAGAGTTCATGAAAGTCCCAATGCTCGCCAAGGAAATAGCCTTATCCATGTCAGCGTCCTCGCACACGATGAGCGGCGACTTGCCGCCGAGCTCCAAGGAAACCTTCTTGAGGTTGTTCACAGAAGACATCCGCACTATCTCCTTCCCAACCTCCCACGAGCCCGTGAAGGCAATCTTGTCGATATCCTTGTGCAGGACGATCCCAGCCCCAGTAGTGGGGCCGAAGCCCGTCAAAATGTTCACCACACCCGGGGGAAAGCCGGCTTTGATGCAAAGTTCACCCAGACGGAGAGTGGTGAGCGGTGTCTGCTCGGCAGGCTTCAGGATGACGGTGTTGCCTGCAGCCAACGCAGGGGGGAGCTTCCACGCTACCATCACCAATGGGAAATTCCAGGGCACGATTAGTCCGCACACACCTATCGGCTGACGCCGTAGTATGGCTATGTTGTTGCCACTGACAGGCGATAAACTGCCATACAATTTGTCCGCGAAGCCCGCGTAGTAGCGGAGACACTCTACAAAGAGACCAACATCGCCCAGTGCGTCTTGAAACGGCTTGCCGTTATCCATGCACTCAAGAGCCGCCATCTCCTCTCGCTCGGCGTGCAGGAGGTCTGCCAGGGTTAGTAACAATTGGCGCCGCGTGGAGCCTTCCGTGGTACGATACGTGTTGAAGGCCTCACGGGCTGCCTTTACAGCCAACTCCAGATCCTCATCGCCAGCCTCTGCGACACGCGCGATGACCTCCTCGGTGGCGGGGTTAAGGGTCTCGAATGTCTTGCTCGAAACGGCTGGTACGAATTTGTTGTTGATGAAGAGGTTAGTCTGGATGTTTTTGACCTGAGGCATTAAGCCAAGTCGAACAATGCTTCGGATCATGTTGATTTGGGTGGAGAGATTTGTTGATTATAAGCACGTAGTATCTTTGTTTAATGTGTCAAAAAGTCGCTACGTCAGTTGAAGGTTCAGGAAAAAGAGAATATTCAAGCGGAAGAATTGATAGACGACATGTGTTGGCTCAAATCATTTAATTATTTTGCGGGACCATGTCATTCAAACGACAGGCGTCAAACATGGTGCCTATTGTTTTCGAACATTGGCAATCAGCTCACTCTCCCTCGGCGATATACACATTCGCCAGATCTACTCTTCTTCCTTTTTAATTAGGGAGGAGGGGATAAGGGAAGGGAAGGGAGACTAATTCACCCGCCCACGCTGTGTGCACGCATATCAAAGGTCATTTGTTTCTTAGCCAATTTTTTACAACATAAGATGCAAGCCAAGCAAAAATCAAGAATGGTTGGTGAAAGCAAACATATTTGCTAACATTAGCGGCCAAACCTGGCCTTTTCATATTTCGATGCATAATCCTAAGACCACCACTGCGACAGCAGAAGACGTAGTCGGAACGGAAGGAGTTCCGTAAGATGGCCCACCCCACACGCATTCAGGCACACCATGCCTGCTCGAAGAGGTTATTGAAGATAATGAACAGCAAGTACTAATTGGAATGGGGCATGACACCCCTACACGCCGCTATCCTAAGGGACCAGACGTCGAATCTTTGTGCGGCGGGGTCGGATTCACGCCCCTACACACGCCGGCGAGTAGTCTGAATTCCACACAACAAATTGAATAATAATACTTTAAGACGCTGACACCGTTTTCCTCAACAAAAGGTGAGCTCTAGTGGCGATGTCAATAATCGCCAGAATCCCTCAGCACATAGGTCAAACCTACAGGACTTTCCCATCTTCGGTCACGAGGCGCGGCTCTGTACCGTCCTCGACATCCTCCTCATCGTCGCCGGCCTCGCCCGTGAACTCGAGCTCCTCCCCTATCAAGAACTTCAGATAGCTGCCAAAGTCATCCGCGATCACGACAAAACTCTCCCGTGGGTCCCAGCTGTACTGGACGATTTGCCCGATCGTCCCACCCTGTCTCTGTTCCGGCTCGAAGTCCACGAACAACCGCGAGACGGTGATCGAGGGCTTCTCCGGCCTCCCATCGGCGGGAGCGGCGGTATCGGGGGCGTCGTGGTGCTTGACGCTCGCGGACGGCGGCGCGCCGTGATGACTCCCATGCATGCTGTCCGCGAAGGGCAACCAGCGGTCGAGGTCCGCGTGAATATCAATTCGAGGATCGACGTACACCTTCGGTAGGCTCCCTGGAGGCGGCGGTGGTGGTGGTGAGGTGGCAGAGGGGTCCGGATGTGGGGGCGGGGCCGATTCATCGGACATCGACGCCACGGCCTTCTGGGAGCGCTCCTCGGGCGAAGGGTGCGTCGTGACGGCGGGAAACCCCTCCTGCGGAGGCCGTGCCTCGGGTCCGAGGTTCTCGACGGCCGTCTCACCCCGCTCACGCCGCAGCCGTCTTAATCGTTTTAAAGGATTCATCGCTCTGCCTTTCTCGGACACCTTCGCTAAGTTTGGCGGTACCGCGCGCACAATCTCGGCTTTCCCGTTGTACAACACAAAAATACTTCTCGGCTCCTTTGGCCCCGAGGTAGCCTCCGTTAGGGGCTTGCCATCGCCCGAAGATTCACCGGCTAAATTGACGTTAGCGCCGCGCTCACCCGAGGACCCCGAAGCACTGGGGAAATTCCCAAACGGCAAAGGAAACCGCGGGCGGTGAAGGATAGACTCCACGGAGCGGAGATAATATGGGCAGCTCCCCAGCGCAGAGCCCAAGATCGGCACCGTGATGTGGTGCGGGTTGACAGGCTTAGAGTCGGGGCCGGTGAGGGTGG